ATACGTCAAGATATAACAGGGTGTCGTTTTATCCAGGGGGGGGGGGGGGGGGGGTTACTAATTTTTTCTATTATTCTTGTGTTTGTTTATTTACTATAATTACATTGCATACATAATAACTGCATTGTCAAACAATTAGGCCCAATTCAAAAATGACAGCAAGCCATGTGATTGTTTTCCAATTGGTGATCGATTAATGACAAAATCTTTTTGTTTGCAAGGATAAATACAAAAAAAACATACTAATGCCTTAAAACTTCTGTCAAATAGTGTATTTGTGCCTTTTGTGGAACAAAAAAGAAAGAGATAAAAATCATAGTCCCTCACTGACTCTCTAAAATATTATAAACTTCCATTATGTTCAGCTACATATGAAAGTAAATCTAAGACATAAAGCTTTAATCTTTAATCTTCACAGAATTGAAAAGGAAATGAGCCCAACTACATGTAGTTCCGGTTGTGGTGTAATGTAAATACATGCTGGGTTAACATCCTTTCTGGATTTCTCTCATCTTCCTAACAAACAGTATCGGTTTGAAACTACAGATCCTCAAGCGCTGTACACTTTAGATTTAATAGATACGTTAAAACCAACCTATCACTCATGTCTTGAAACATGAGCGCCGAACAGATTTGCGAAAGCATATCGGACTACGTCGATCGTGTTCACACCGTGTTGACATACCATTAGGAAATGTCAGTTATTCACACAGACGAGCAATCGATGGTATCCATGGCGATAACACTTCTGTCTGAGAGCAATAGCCGTGGCAGAGAGCGGCCGGCCGCGGGAAATCAAAGATTAGGCGATGCTGTAATTTGAAGAGGCTCGCCTCTTCCTTCAACAGCGTTTTATACTTTGATTCTTTCCAAGGAGCTTTCTGCGTCTGCGAGAAATTTATGGTGAATACATTTTGTGTAAAAAACCCACCATACTTTCTTTTGAGAGCCATGATGGCATTAACTCTGTATTAACGTACGTGTACTTATGTGTTAACGCCCTTCCGGCCCGAAACAGACATATCTCAGGTAAACATGTAAATGATACAATGATTTGCAATATTTTGAGTTGAGTTGAGTTGAGTTGAGTTGAGTTGAGTTGAGTTGAGTTGAGTTGAGTTGAGTTGAGTTGGGTTGGGTTGGGTTGAGTTGAGTTGAGTTGAGTTTGATTTTGCATGTACATGTGAAAGAAAGGGGCATATACACACAGAATGATTTTAATGATACATTGATGTACATGATAGAAAGGGGCATACACAAAGGATGAATGTTGAATAAAGATATCATATAAAGTCAAAAGGGCATTAACTTTGTGTTAAAGTCTGTGAGTTTGTACCCTCCTGGCTCTAAACACTTCAGTGAAATGTATAAAAACAATCATTCGGAAGGAAAGTGTGCAATTTGCAGAAGCACTGAAGAATAATGTAAAGTTTCTCAGCACGACATGGGCATCACCATTTTGTTGATATCTTGACGTACTACATACGTATGTGAAGTCATTTATCAAGTAAATGTATTCAAATTTATGGATGCTTCATTCCCAGGTGTGTGTGGTGATGAAGCATTTCATTCACCTGCTGTTATCTTTTGTACTACAATTGCCAGAACGCAAATTGCATAAATAAGTTGGTGGTTTTCTTTGGAGAAAGTTTTTGATAAATGAAATAGATTTGTCAATTGCTATATTTTAGTATTTTTTAAAATGAACTTCATGTAGTTACAATTGTTCCCCTGTTATATATTTTTCACCAAATTTAATTCCTATCTTCTCAGCTATGATTTTTCCTCATTGTAAAGTAAAGTTTTTTTTTATTGATTTTAAAAGTCTTTCCTACTACTTAAAAGTGCATGATATACATGTACATGTACAACTTCAACTGGTACATCACATTTTCAAGAAAATGGCTGCGCCCATGACAGTCATACTAAAAGGTATCACATCATGCCAAGAATATCTGTATTGATATCTCTTGTACATTTTCGTAAGGAATTTTATACATCATAGGACAGTAATACACCTCATTTTCAGAATACCTCCTTTATCCTTTGGGGTGAGGTTCCCTTTAAGGGAAAACATGCACTTTTGAAGTTTTTTAGTATACCGGTAGGACAAATGAGAGGGGACGTTTCAAGATACATCACAGAGTTGCCAATTTGTTTTTGATTAATCAGACCTTTAAAAATTGATAACTTTCTTATTTTTAATTTGTTTTAATTGGTTTTACTGAGCTGTTTCTATATTTTTCTGCTTCTATTATTATAAAATCCAACCTTAAAATCAGGATGGACTTCAATTCATTCTAATTCTAATTCTGTTTAAAAACGCTTTCTAATGTCATTTAAACTGTATTATTGTATTTATCAAAATTTAATTACATTATTGTACTCTTATATAATTTGCCTTCATTTCTGTGTTATGGATGTATATAATGTTTGATTATTATTAATCTTTTCCTTATTTTGATATATATCTTTAGTTCATGAATTAGTTGTTATGTGTAATTTTGTTGTATTAATTATTGTAAAGCGCATTGCTATTTTCTTCGAAGATGAAATGCGCTTTATAAGTCTAGGTTATTATTATTATTATTAATGGAAATGTGGAGCTGCATGCAAAGTTCTTGCACTATTTGAAGTTCATTAGGTTCTTAAAGGCCCACTGCATTACTTGTAGCTACTTGCGCCCTCTTACAACAAACAATGCCTAATCGGTGACCATTGGTCCCCCATGATCCTCTTTTCCTTATGTTAACTGAGAGCTGAGTTGATGAGATAACCACCTGCCCAGTGACCTTGCAGGGCGCTCTAGTCCCTCCTGTAAACTATGGCAGATAAGCTTTAAATAAAACATTGCCCTAAGAGTCATTGCTTTAGGTAATCACTATGTTTTTCACAATGGCCTCGTACCATAATATCCTGATAGGAAGGTGTTTTTTTCAATTATGATTGTACATGTATAAGTCATGTAGAGAACCATCTGTATTTAATGATGAAGCTATGAAGATTCCTTGCAAGAACTGATACCTTATCAGTATTTACAAAACAGGAAAGGTACAATGGTCAGTTGTGCATAATATCCTGCTGACAGTTTTGCAAGGTGACAGTGTTAAGAAAAACAATGATTGGGACAGCTTTCAGTGGAAGAGATTCTCCAGGTCTTCAAGAAGATTCTCCAGGTCTTCAAGAAGATTAAAAGTAATTCTGTACAGTGCGTCCCAGAAAAAACGAAACCGAGAATTATTGATGTTTTATCATAACTTAATCACAATTATAATTTATAAATGACCCATATTTGTAAAGCTTAGACCCTCATCTTTCATTTGATGCAACTCATATGATACATTTTGCACGCATGGGTGATTAAAATTAAGTTGAAGAGAGGGAATCAAAAAGTAATCTGGCTGACGGTATCTGAATTCAAAGAGAAAATCATATTCTAGAAAGTTCAGTTTTTGCCCTTTAATATGACACCTCAATCAGGGAAAAAGAGCAAGGAATAGGAAAGTTCTGTTTGTTTAAAGTGATGCTTGCATTTCCATAATTACATTAAACAAATTCGTTTTTACTGGCTGCCTTCTGTAGCAACAAACGGAATTGACAAAAGACTTCACTCTGTTTCGTTGAAGATCAGCCATACATGTAGACGAACGACTTCATGCATGGCTGGTAAAGCATTCTTTATTCTCAAATGTGTTCTTTGATCATATATATATTGTACATGTATAAATATGAAAATGTTTTCTAAACAGTTTGTGAAAATGTTCCTTTTATTATTGCAATTTATAATTAAGCTAAAATATCAATGTACAGTTCATCTAGTTTTGTTATGAAGAATATGTACAATTGTGTTTAATATGAATGATTTGTACAATACATGTACATGTAATTGTATGCATGTATTTGATCTGAGAGAAAATAATAACAAATATTTTTTTTTTTAAATCATGGTGGCTTGTTCACATTGAAGAAAAAAAATTATAGACCAATCACTCACATATATAAATATATACATGTATATATGCAGAGAACTGCAGACTTATCATTTATCAGATTATGTACATTTAGTTTTTCTTGTGTGAAAGGGGGTACCCCTCTGCAGACATTACCTATGGGACAAGGCTGTGCCACTTCACACCTCCCCTCATCAAACATTAAAGCAGGTGCTTATTTTCATATACTGGTCGTGGGCAGAATACACTGAGGAATTCACCCTTCTTCCCCAAAACCTTCCCATATTTACAAAAAAATATCTCGAAGCGATGACCATTTCCTGTTCAATACTCAGTAGAGCTATGCAAAATTAATTAATAGTTTTTATATAGACACATCCTGATGTTGAAATAACATCCTTTGCTGTTGGGCATTGACTGTGTCTAGCTATATTATTGGGGGGAAATTGAATTCATGAATGGTAATACAAATATTGTTGAGATTGATTAATTGTATATTCACTGTAATATATTTTAAAAGAACCATTATAGTACAGGTATGTGCATTCTTTTTTTTTTATTTGGAATTTGGTGTTACTGCCTTTTCCTTTTTACTGTCTACTGTATATTGACACTTAGATGAGTATTAAAGCATTGAATGTTTCATGATTGCTTTCAAATTCATTTTTTTGTAACATTGCAATGCAACCCCTGTTCATGTTTAGAATGCAGGCCTGCGCTTCCACTTTGAAGCCTATGAAATTATTGGCAAATTACATATTTTGTTTAGAAACAATATGGTTCAATTAACTAGATGTATTAAGAAAGGGGTGTTTTTTCCTTCTACTTGAAGATTCAATTTAAAGGATTATTTAAAATTCATGTTGTTTGTTCTTTTGAATGTTATTTATTCAGATTTTTTTTCTTTTCGAGTTCCATTTCAAGTGTTAATTCCTCACCTTATGATGAAATTAGAGGACATCATATTTCTCAAATGATAACTGCAAGTATGTCTCAGTGATCCTCATGTTTGAGAAAAATGATTAAATCTTTGATATCTTTTTCTTACAGGTTTACACTACATACATGCAGTGCATCTAGTCATCAGTATTAATGGACGAACCCAAAGACATCTCAATTTAAAATTGACACCTACAAGACAGCATGTGCCGTCGAGTGTAGCGAGTGGTAAAAACACAAGTCATTAATCTGTAAACGGATCATGTAGCCCTGCTTCTGGTACGCGGAGGATTACATGTAATTGCGCACAAAATCAGTGCATGCATGGACTGACAACGAGCGGTGTCGTCTTTCCTGATCCGAGTCGTCCGGTAACGTCCCCCACGGCAGGTTGCATTGAGATGTCATCCTCACCCACTCGTCATCAATTATTCATCATCGCTCCGTCTCAGGTTTAAAACAGTGTCGGAGTATACAGGAGGAGCGCATCCCGGCGGGGGAGAGTTTACGCAAGGCTTGCCGAGGAGGACGGTGCGTGGACGCTCCGCTGCATCCATAATTGAGGAGAGGGGAGTCCACCGACGCACAGCTGTGCGGCGCTTCGACAAACAGTCATTTCACGCTCACAGGAGCAGGTAAAACAAATCGCTCTCCAAACACACACGCACAGTCGCACAGAGACATGCGCAGTGTCTCCAGTTGTTCCGTTCCACAAGACTGCTACCCATCTATGCAGGAGGCTTGATTTGATTTTCGACTTGGGGAAACATTCAATGGCAACAACTCTCTCTCTCTCCCTCCCTCTCTCACTCTCGCTCTCCCTGGCTTTATTACATTTCCCCAAGAGAGAGAATATACCCGTGGTAGAACATACATCATATTCCATTTTGATTTGAAACAATAAGGAACTTGCCTGGATCCTTGCACGAGATATCAATACTCACAGCCATTCATCATACTGTGGATTGTGATCAGTCTTGCTGGTATTCTTCTAGGACACCAGAGAGATTTCAAACATATGGTCGTAACCAAACGGTTATATATCTCTCAAGGATTTAACAAATTGATTTCATTCTAGCTGGCTGCTTGCCGGTGAACATCATCATGGCTTTTCTTCAGATGATTCTCCCCTTTCTATTATGTACCTTCCTCATCCCAGCGTATCTCACCGAAGAATCGTCGGCGCAAAAATGGAACTACTGCGTCGTTGGGGCGGGTCCCTCCGGCTTGCAGATGGGGTTCTTCTTGGAGAGGGCGGGACGCAATTATGTCATTTTTGAGAAAGCAAACATGAGCGGGTCATTTTTCAACACCTACCCCCGCCATCGGAAGCTGATCAGCATCAACAAGAGACACACAGGGAAGACGAACAAAGAGTTCAATATGAGACATGACTGGAATTCTCTTCTTAGTGATGATGAAAGTTTACTCATGAAGTAAGTACATCCTTCTTTCGTTTTATCAAGTTCTGCTAATTTTCTGTGAGAAAAAAGAAAGAAAAAAGAGACAAGTATTTCCTTTTGAAAAATTTGCTAAAGAAAATCTGGTATAGAATTCCTTACTTCAGGGGTGATGAGAGTTTACTCATAAAGTATAGTAAATGTACATATCAGCTGAAATATTTAATGTAAATCCATTCTTTCACTTTTTATCTAATATCTATTTAGTAAAGGGTTTTGATTTAGGTTAAGTTATTTCTTTGTCTTCTCAAGTTCTACTAATTTGGAAGAAATAGAAAAAGATCTGAATATCTCCTGTGTAAAAATCTATTCAAGAAAATATGTTATAGATGATGACAATTTTAATACTCTTGAAGTAAGAGTACAGTACATGTATCTTCCTTACATAATATTTGCAAGTTCAGCTAATTTGTAAGAAATAGAAGGAAAAAAGGATATGAATCTTTCCCTTGTGAAAATTGTCCAAGAAAATGTTTGATGGAAAGTACTGCGCATTTTAGAAATGGCAGGTACATGAAGCATACATGTAACATATGGTCATTGTTTGGGATGAAAGATTGGGTTCTTGGGTTCTTTTGAATGCTGCCCAATAAATTGCTTTATTATTATTGCTCAATACCTTTGTTATTTATTTCAGAAAAAGAGTAGTTAAAGGTAATACAAAGTTTTGATGTGGGGTCATGAATTTGCCAGGGTTCAAATGAACATATTGGATGCATATGCGACTTTAAAACAACACTCTGTACTCAGTACATTGGGGGAAATGAGTACCAGTATGGTAAAACTGGTCACTCAAAATGCTTTACTTTTTTAAGGCACTTCATGATCATTTTGAAGTGCAATTTTTCTAGGGCTTCAAAATTACACCATACCACAGACACGGATAACACTTACGGCCATGCATTTCAGATTTAACATGGTTAAACGATACCTTTAAAGAAAGATAACTGTCATTTCTTGATCCTCTCCCAGGCACTACTCCAAGGAGTTCTTCCCTGATGCAGACACCTACGTCAAGTACCTGAATGATTACACAACCAAACTTGGCCTCAATGTCCAGTATAACACAGAGATCTCGGATATAGCACGACACGAACCGCCCAACCTGAGTGGGCAGTACTTCACTATGCAAGACCAACATGGCAACGGCTACCAGTGCAGGTATGTGAAGAAAGAAAAAATGTACTTTCAAGGATAAAATTCCATGTTTTCTTGTTTCAGGTTTAATATAATTATTCATTTAATAATGTGCATTTTCCATTGTTGCCATTGTTTTTTGTTTTTGTTCATTGTACCCATTTCATGTTGCCTTTTGCAATTAGGGTAGACATATAGAAGAACCTTTTATCAAGGATGAAAGAAAAAATACTTTTTTGTGTTTGATTATTATTATTCAATTAATTCAATTAAGTTTATTCATTTCCATAAAAATTACATTACAAGAACACATTACAAGAACACATACATTTGCAAAAGGTACTATAAATAACATGAAAAATCTTTCACTACTAGAATATACATATAAGTACATTAAGATATTAAACAATAATGGAACAAGTTATAAAAACCCAAATAAATGAGTTTGTTGAGATATTTCCCCCAACATAATGAAACAAAATGTGATGAACATAATAAAGATTTGAAATTACATAAACTTATTTTGCCCCAGGTGTGTGTATTTTCCAATGTTATCCATATCCTATTTGTCCATTGTACCCATGCATGTTTATATGTAGTCCCCTGCAACCAAGGTAGATATATGCCAAAAAAAAGGAACCCTTTATTTAGGGTAAAATTCAAATTTTTGGTTTTGCTATCTTCCTTAATGCTATGAAATAAAACAACCTGCAAATCTATCAAATCTGAGAATACCATATGGTACAGTATTTGTTTGTGTGTTCTGGTTTGTATAACTTATACATTGAAAAGTGATTTTTCAACGATATTTAAAACAGTGCATCAAAACAGGCAAAAGGAAGCCGCATATCGTTATATTTCATTTGATTTGTGCATTTTCCATTACTTTCTTGAGCTGATGTTTTCTATGTTACTCTGTGTTCTGTTTGATAAGAACAAGTTACCGGTACTCTCTCTCTAAAAAAAAAAAATTTGAGTGATCACTGACATGACCTCTGAAGAGTGAAAAATAGAGTGCAAATTTGTATGTGCTGCATGGCCATGTGTCATTTGATGTCAGGAATTCTAAAATTGAAATTGAGCATTAAAATCCTGAAAAGTGGCAGCATATTGCAAAATTCAAATCTACTATTTCCCCTACTCAATTAAATGTGACAATTATTTTAGGGAAATAACACTGTATTGTACTCAATTAGACTCACAGGAAGCAATCCTACCCACTACATTTGACAAACAGTGTACATGTACATGTAACCATTTTTTTTCTGGGTCATTGTCAAAATGACTGTTTATAATGTTGGTGCAAAGCGAATTTTATTACTGCAAAATTGAGTAGATACTTTGTCCATCCCTGGTCAAATGATTCTTTCCCTGGAAGTTTGATCATGACAATAGCCCCCAGTCGATCGCAAGAGCGGGAGAGATGCATCGTAATTGATGTGCGGCTTATATTGCCTGTTTTGATGCACTGTAATATGGCTGAGAGAGAGAGAGATACAATCCATCTTACATAAAACATTGCTTTTCAACGTAAGTTATAGAAACCAGAACACACAAACAAATACTGTACCGTATGGTGTTCTCAGATTTGATAGATTTGCAGGTTGTTTTATTTCATAGCATTAAAGAAGATAGTTTAAGAGCATTGCTCTGTAGATGTTGAACACAAGGGAGAGAGTTAGTGAGAGGGAGAGAGACAGAGAGAGTTATAGGGAGGGTGAAAGCAAGATAGTAAAAGAGAAAGAGATTTCAGGATGAGGATAGAGAGAAAGAAAGAGTGAAAGAGAGGGAGAGAGAGAGAGAGAGAGAGAGAAAAGGAGAGATAGGGGAGATGAAAGAGTGAGAGAAAGGGAGAGAGGGCAGATGGTGGAGAGAGAGAGAGAGAGAGAGAGAAAGGGAGAGGATGGGAGAGATGAGTGAGAGAAGGAGATGGAGGGAAAGAGACAGAAAGATACAAAAGAGAGTATGAGGGGAGAGGGAGGGAGGGAGAGAGAGAGAGAGCAAAGGGGGGGGGGGGGGGGGATTAGATTGTGGTACATGTATATGTTTAGGTCTGTAGCCAGAGGGTGACAATCGTATATAATGAGTAACCTAACCTACGTATACATGTAAATCACAACCCTTTACAACATATCTACCTATATAAGATAAAAAGTGCAAGAATGGATTTACACATGTACATTAAATATTTCACCAGAATTGTGTGTTGCCGTTCATGTACTTCAATCTCTATTCATCTAAACAACACACAACATTTACTGAGGTTACATCCATACAGGCAGCCAGTTCCATTCAAATGATATTGCCATTTGCTGGAGATTTTTTTTTTCATTCGTTATCAACAAGCCTTACCCAAGAAATTACCGAACGCAATATTGGCGGTAGATTTGATCAATTTGTTCAGCCGTGCCTGCATAATATTCATGCATGAAGAAATAAAAAAAAAAGCTTTGTGATTAATTTGGTGGTCTACCGTATTGCAAAGGTCAAACATTTCGAAAAGCTGAAGGTACAGGCACAATTTATTTTACACACACTTGTAGGCATGATGTTAGCAATACTACCTAAACATATTCATCATTATTTTCCTCTTCCTCCTTCTTCTCCTCCTCTTTTTTCTTCTCCTTCTTCCTGTACTTATTATCATTTCTATCAGTTTAATGTTGTTGTTATTATTATTATCATCAAAATTATCTTTAATAATTTTTTTCCTTAATTATCTGTCTGTAAATATTGCTATTCTAACTTACTAATTTTTGTACATGTACACTGTATGTTGCGGACACCACTGGAAATAAGCTCTCAAGCTTTCTTGGCTTATCCTGTTCAAGCTGACTTAATTTTTATCTGTTTTTCTTGTATATTGTTGTATGTTCATTTCATTTCATTTAATTTTTATTTTTTCATTTCCAACAAAATACAATACATAATAACGAATACAATGTAAAATGTATACAAAACATAGTTACATTGGTAATAAACAAATCTTAATAATAATTTATACATTTTAGGAAGACAAAAAAATGAATTTTAAAACTTAATTGCATTTATATTTTGAGAAAAATGGAGAGGTCCACTGAAAAGCAAAGCTTGTAAATTGTGGACCCCTCAGATAATAATGAGTGTGAACAAAATATTGAATACATAATCAATTAAAGAAGAATAGTGGCCAACAGAGAACATTTATTAAAACACGTAATGACTGTAAACAAGAAGACGTAACAAATTACATGACGAAGAAAGAACAGACAAAAAGAAGAAGAAAAAAAGGGGGAAAAAAAGGAACAAAAATGCGGGCTGCGTTTGGAGGGAAGGAGAGCGAGAGAAAAGGAAAGTTGTAGAGATCGAGCACGAAATAGGGAGCGCACAAAATCCTTGAGATAGCTGAAACAAAAGAGCAAGAACATGATGGCAAGTAGTTTTTTGTTTTGAGATGGGCTGAAGAAAAGAGGGAAAGAAAACAAAATTGGGAAGGAGATGTTCTATCACAATAATTTTCTAAATATTATAAGATTGTAATAAGGAAAATTTTAACTTTTTTTTAAAAGCAATTAGTGAAGGGGAAGTTTTCAAATCGCAAATTGGCAAAGTATTCCAAAATTTAGGGCTTGGCGAATAACAAATCAATCAATCAATTTAACCATATGTTTACAGTAATTAAGCAACCCTGTAAAGTGTAAACTAAAACAGCTCAAGAGAAACAAGGAAAGGAGTTTTAAAGGAAGGTGATTTTTCATTCTATTTCTAAAATGTACATACAGTTATACATGTACTTGACAAATGTATTATTTATTTCATTTTCATATCCATAACAAACGATTCGGTTTGAGTATATGATGTTGGCCTGTAGGTATAATATTATCTTTATGTACATGTATAAAAAGGAAGAATGGGGAGAGCTTCAAATATAGCCTGAAATTGGCCTTGTAGAACAACTTTTGCATAACAGTAGTTTTGAGGCCATATGTATATATATGAATAGTTATTCTGTACAAATTCAAATAGAATCACTTGAATGTGTTTTTAAATACAATTTCCCTTTTTTTAAGAGGTTCTTTTGGGAAACATAAATTGATTTTTTTTTTAAAACCCAGTGCTCTTTCTATCAGGTAGCTTTTAAAAAGCAGATTTGACTTGGATGTGTACTGTACAGGTTTTTTTTCATTTTTATCTATCCTTTAAAGAAAGAGTATGAGAAAAGGTAGGTTGAGGGAAGGGAGAGAAAAAAAGAGAAGGATAGTGGGAGAGAGTGAGAAAAATACTGAGATAGAGAGAAAGAGAGAGAGGGAGAGAGAGAATGAGAGAGAAAGAATGAAGAAGAAAGTGGGGAAGAGGGAGTGAAAGAGAAAGAGAGAGAGAGAGGAAGAAAGAGAGAGAGAGAGGGAGAGAGAGACTGAGAATGAGAGAGATAGATTGAAGAAGAGAGTGAGAAAGAGGGAGTGAGAAAGAAACAAAGTGGGAAAGAGAGAGAGAGAGAGAGAGAGGGAGAAAGAGAAAGTGAGAGAGAGAGTAAGAACAAGAGTGAGAAAGAGTAAGAAAGAGAATAGTAAGTGTATTGAAAAAATAAAGTTAGAAAGGGAACCAGACAGAGAGATGAAAAGATTACACGTATGTCCACACGTTACTCATCCTATTGCAGTTACACCTACTGATTACAAAAAACGGAGGACAGATCTTCTCCATGGACATTTCTATGCAATTGCATCTACATCTCTTAACACTGGACATCATCTTGAGTGAGGGAGTGAGGAAGAAACAAAGAGGGAAAGAGAAAGAGAGAGAGAGAGAGAGAGAGGAAGAAAGATAGTGAGAGAGAATGAAGAAGAGAGTGGGAGATAGAGAGTGAAAAAGAAACATAGTGGGAAAGAGAGAGAGAGAGGAAGAAAGAGAGTGAGAGACAGAGTGAGAGACACAGAGAGACAGAGAGAGAGAGAGAGAGAGAGTAAGAAAGAGAATGAGTAAGTGTATGGAAAAAAATAAAATTAGAAAGGGAACCAGACAGAGAGATGAAGAGAGGATATGTATGCCCACACGCTACTCATCCGATTGCACTTACACTTTATACTGATTACGAAAAACCATCTACATCTCTTAACACTGGGCATCATCTTGAAGTAAACAACTCTCTCGTCTCAGCCACCTGCCGGCGCTGTGGGCACGCTTCGAGTTTAATTGAGCACCGCACTATTCACAAAATTTATGCGGCTTCAAACAATTACTCCGTCTGGAGCGTTCTTCTTTCTCCCGTGTCCTCGGGGTGCGTGTAATAGATGTACACATGAAGAGGCTACGAATGAAGGTCGACCTTATACTTGAAAGTGTTACCGTAAAATATGAACGTCAGCTTCCTTACCTGTCTCTGTGACTAACCAGTCTCTTTTTACCCCTCCCTTCTTTCCGTCTATCTTCTTCTTTTCTTTCTTCCTCTTTACATTCTCTTCCCTTTCTCTTCACTTTCTCTTCCCTCTCATTTTCTAATCATCTTATTTACTCTATTTCTCTCTTTTATCTTTTCCATTTTTCTCTATTTATTTTTCCATTTCTTGTTTTCTTATTTTTGTTATTTCTTATTTTCTCCTTTCTCATTTTCTTTTTTCTTTTCTTTCTTAATTTCTTTTGCCCCTTTTATTGCTGTCTTACTCGCTCTCATATCCATGTACTTAATTGAAGTGTTGCCCATTCTACCCCTCTCCCTTTTCTCCCACTCTGCCTAAACACTAACTTTTCCATTTTTCTCTATTTCTATTTTCTTGTCTTTATTTCTTATTTTCTCTTTTCTTTCTTATTTCTTTCGCCCATTTTTGTTGCTGTATTACTCGATCTCTTGTTGCCCAATTTACCTTCTCTCCTCTCACTCTGCCCAGGGACTTGATCCCAAGTCCCTGCTCTGCCTGAACACTTCCATGTAATATTGAAATACTTAAAGGGCAATCCGACCTTTGCAATAAGTTCATTTCTATGAAAGCAGAAAAATAAGAGATACAGAATGACAATAGTTTGATTATTTGCAATTTGTCACTTTGATCCCAGCCCCTTATTTTGATGTACTGCTCATTTTATGGCTGCAAAATCATAACAAATATGGTATCATCTTAAAGACATATACATAATTTCTAATAATACGTAACATAGTGATGATTATGCCGTATTCAGGGAGATATAACCTATCAAACTTGAGTTTTCAAACTTTTTTAGGGGTTTATATTTCTTCAACTGAGAGCCATAAAGATTAATACCCTCAGGCTCTCAACCATCAATTTCACATTGAGTTTCTAAATGGATAAAAGACAAATCTAACTTTAATAGAAAACTACTCTAAAAGAAAGCAGAAAAAGCAAAGTTGGTGAAAGTTTGAATGTAATTGGACAAAACTTAATGAATGTTTAATGAATTTTTTAAAAGTTTTAATCACTGTACAATATAGGCACTTCAAATTGCCTGAATTGGTAAAGTCACTGTGATGTAGTGATAGACAACTTATTTCAACTCACAAAAATGACTAAAATGTCAAGTTTTCAAAATGTATGTGCTCAAATACATTTACCGGTAGTTACCTGCAATATTCCTCTATATTCCGTTCTTTTTCTGTACAGAGTTATTATCATCAGTACGAGAATGCACAAGCCCGACATTTTGAATTTTCAAGGCCACAAATGCACCTAAGGCTTTCATTATTTTAATGATAAACAATAATCATTATTATTATTATTATTATTATTATGATCATTATTATTATTATATTATAATCATTATTATCATTATTGATATAATCATTATTCATCTACAATTTTCCTCTCACTTCTATTTATTTTTGTCTATACAGAGTCATGGTCATATGTATTTTCATGTTATGCAGGCCCCCCCCCCATGTATAACAGTATTTTAACTACTGATGGGGCTACCCTGTTGAAATAAAACTAAATAAATAAATAAATAGATCATTATAATCATTATCATTATTTACCTACAATATTCCCCTCACTTCTTTTTTCTTTGGTCTATACAGAGTGATGGTCATTAGTACGGGGATGCACAAACCCAACATACCAACCTTCCAGGGCCAGGAATACACGGAAGGCTACGAGGACATGTCCCTGGACCGCGACGACTTTGAAGGAAAGAGCGTCCTCATCCTCGGGCGGGGAAACTCCGCCTTTGAGACGGCGGATCACATCATCGGCTCAACCAACGTCATCCACGTCATGGGACGGTCAAGGGTCAAAATGGCGTGGGAGACGCATTATGTGGGTGATCTGAGGTATGTTTTATCTGATGGAATGAAGTGAAATGATTAGACTTGAATCTATTTAACCGGACATTGATGCCTCCAAATGCATGTAGATTTTCATATTCTCAAACATGTTATTAGTATTAGGTAGCATTGATTTGATGTTCTTTGAATTTTCCTTGAATGTTTTATTGAATTAAATATAAGGAGCTGTCTTCATAACAACACAGAAAGATGCAGTAAATATCTGAATTATTTCAAAATATATATATTTCCTTGACGACTACTTCACTTTACCTACCGTGCTTTTCCACAGCATTCAGAACCCCTTTTTTAATAATATTCAGTCTAATATTTAGTCTAAAATTGAGTGTAACAAGTTTGTATGAATATATATATATATGAGTACTCAAGCATCGTAAATTTCAGAAGTTAACTTCCACTTTTTCGTGAACTTAGACTTACATTTTTCGGTATCATAAATTATGAGTCAAGATAACCCATTGTGTATGTGAATGTGGCAGCTCCTGTATGAAAGTTTATGGAAATAAGATAATAATGATGATAATAATAATAAGAACATTTAACTGATGATAGAAATGATAATAAGTACAAAAGGAGGAGGAGAAGAAGAAGGAGAGGAGGAGGAGGAGGAGGAGGAGGAGGATAAACAATTTAAACTAATTAAAACTATTTTCACATCCGAACCGAAATGTTATTAATACTTTTCTCACTATTTGATCTGTAATCCATTTGATCCAGAGCTATCAACAATGGGTTACTGGACACCTACCAGCTCAAGTCTCTGGACGGTCTGTTAGAGGCGGACATGGTGGAACTCTCCCTGGTCAAGCGGTCAGATGGCCGCCTTCAGCTTATCCCCCAGGATGGGGATCTCACGATTGCAGACAAGCTTGTGATCGATAACTTTGCGTTACGACACCCTTATGACAAAGTGATCCGGTGCCTTGGTTTTACTTTTGATTTCTCAATATTTGAAAAGTAAGTTTTCCTGTTTTTTCTTTCAGGAAAAACTTCATTTCATTAAACCATTGTCAAGTATTTTAGATGAAAACTGGAGCGCGTAATCTTTTTCATCATACCTATTTTGTACTGATGAAAATGTCCATGTACAGTACATGTATGTGTATAATACTCATTTCATGGAATTTGGAACAGATTACTAGAAAATGTGAAGAAGTTGTATATATGTTTACTAAGACTTTCTCTGTTTCTGCCAAGATCTTTCCATTATTCTATCAGTTCAAGGTACTTAAACCCTTTCGCTACAATCATACCACATTTGTGGTCTGGTTCAATTATTTATAATTCAGAGCCCTAAAAATATGGCAAATGCATGAGTAGAGGAAGAATAAAGGAAAAATATTATTTTTTTTAACATCCAAGATAGCTTTGTGAAAAATTTGCTAACCCAGACACTAACCCTATTAATAAAACTAACCCTAACACTAACCCTTACACTAACACTAATCCTAACACTGAAACTAAAATTAATTCTAAAATTAACATTAATGCTAAGTCTAATACTAACACTTACCCTAACAGTAACCCTAACACCCACCTTAACAGAAACATTAACCCTCACACTAACCTTAAAACCAAACCTAAACTGAACTCTAAACCTAGTCTGAAATCCTATTGCAATCCTAGACCTTTCCCTCTATTATTCATGTAACAAACCTTTTGAACAAATGTCAGATCATCCAATTTTCTTCCTTCTGTTCTACAGCACCCCAACCAGGGTCGAAGAAACGGACTAACAGTAACATTAACCCTTACACTAATCCTTACCCTACACCTTTTATCTCTGTAGTTCTACAGCACCCCAACCAGGGTCGAAGAAACGGACCAAGAAGTACCCGTTCGTAAAGGCCAATTACGAGGCTGCAGGGATCAGAGGGATGTTCTTTGCAGGAACCAACACTCATTCTATCGACTTCAAGAAGTCAGCCGGAGGGTTCATCCACGGATTTCGATATACAAGTAAAGTGATTCATCTCATACACTTGCATTTATGGGGAAGGCCATCCTGGCATCAAGTTGGCTTTAAAAGTGACTCGGTAAAATTGTCTCAGATTCTGAAACAAAATCCTGGATTTAGCTCATGGTGCAATCATAATTTCTAAAACCTTTAGGTCAGTCAGGAATCCCATGACTTTTACAAGCCAATCGCCTGTCTGATTATCAAGATATTTATGATTGTTTCCTAACGGTTTTTATAACACTACAGTCTATTGGGGAAAATGAGTATGGTAAAACTGGTCACTCAAAGATTTTTACTTTTTTGAGGCACTTCAGGATTATATTGAAGCGCAATTTTTTTAGGGCTTCAATATTAAACCATATCACAGACACTGATAACAGGTAGAGCCATGCATTTCAGATTTAACATTGTTAAACGATGCCTTTGATAGAAGTAGAAAAAGGAAAAGAGATGAGTGAAATATGAGCAAATTATGAATAAAAGTTATGATTGATCAGAACCAATTTGGTAACTCTATGATTTCCCTGGCAAGCAGCTCTCCATTTGTATTCAACTGGAAAGTCAACAAATTTATATTTTTCTCTAAAGAAGTCGATTGATCATCTTTATCATAACTAAATATATAAATAGAATTCACTTCATTAATAAAAATGAAAAGGAATAAGTAGATTCATGATGAAATTAATAAACAGATAATACACAGCGGATCAAACACAACATTTTACTACCGACTGGTCATTAGTAAAATGTTGTGTTAGGCAAAATAAATGCCTGGTCACATGTACGCTTTCACCCAATCATTTGATTAGGATCCGCTTCATCATCTTGTTTTACATTTACTCACTCTGTCACAGCATTGTAGAGATTGAGATTTAGTGCTCCGTAAATGAGACAATTAAAATGATAAATATCAACGAAAGCAATAATACTTATCTTGTATAGTGCATGTCACATGATGATGCAACTTCTAAATATGTTTTCTATGTAATTCCGAAGTGATCCTTTCTTTATAGCTCAGGCAATCATTCTGTTTCACTCTCTTTCTGCCTCTATTAAAACCTACTTGATATCCAGAATATTATTATCAATCCTTCGCTCTTGTCACCAGTTATCCACTTTCAGAACTCAAGTAAAGACAGAACTATTTCGGAATGCTGACAATTAGTCACTGCTTTTTTTCTTTCCCAGTTAGGATCATGAACAGACATTTTTCATAGTTTTTCAGTCTCATCAGCGCCTTTGATTAGACAACTAGATATTGGCGCTTTATAAATTCCTGGTTTGGATTGGATCATTATTATTCTATTATGAAAGTGTTATTGTATTAAATCATGTCATGTAATGTTTTCACGTTGTACAGCCCGAGTGTTACATCATCTGCTGGAGTGGCGATACCACAGCGTCCCCTGGCCTTCAATAAGACTGCCAATGATGGAGCTCTTAGATCGCGTGGTCAGACGATTAAACGAGGCTTCGGGGCTCTATCAGATGTTCTATGTCTTGTCTGATGTCATACTGCTTCATAAGTATGCACCTGCAAAATATAGACTAATTTTTAATTCTTTTTCTTAAGAAAGGGGGGGGGGGGTATGACTTTAATTTTGTTCAAAACTTACATGTTTCAATAAAAGTATACCGGTACACAAAGGAAAGCAAGAGGTGACTCTCTCTTTCTGTAACCCAAACGATATTCATTTCACGCGAAATTTTCCAATTTTGTTTATAAAATTATGATGAGTATACACTCTCCTTTCTCATTTAAGTTGTGACATTGAATGAAAAACAGTAATTCCTGAAGTAGAATATAATTATGTAACTGCATTTTTTGTAAAAGTAGCTTTTGGTATGCCTCGTTTAAATTCATGTAATGTTTTAGATATTTTGTGTATACGCACTTTACTTTATTAGTTTTTTCATGTACAAATTTGAGAGAGAATAAACAGTAAATCTGAACACTTGTTATTCTCTCCAGGGACACTATGGAGTTTGAATATCTAGAGGAATTTCCAACTCTTATGTTGCCGTGGTTACAAAAAGCATCGGGTCACAATCATACAGAAGTACTGGTGCTGATCATGGAGTATGGCAAAAACTTTTCAGGTGAGAATTCAAGTGTTTTAGAGAAAAATGCACCTTAATCTCTGATTCTTCCCTTTGTCTACCTCTCTTTCTATCCCCCTCTCCCCATCCTTTTTCTCTCTTTACACATTCCTCTAACGTCCACGCATCTCTTCTGTCTCCCTCTCTTTCTACTCTCTCTCTCTTTCTCTCTCTCTCTCCCATCTCTTCTGCCTCCCTCTCTTTTTACTCTCTCTCTCTCTCTCTCTTTCTTTCCCTCCCATCTCTTCTGCCTCTCTCTCTCTCTGTCTCTCTCCCTCTCTCCCTCCCTCCCTCTCCCTCTCTCTCTCTCTCCCTCTCTCCCTCTCCCCCTCTCTCCCTTTCTCTCTCTCTCATTCACGCTCTTTGTCCCCCTTCTCTCTTGCACCCTTTCTCTTCTGTGAAACTTGATCATCATGCCTATTAAAATGTCTTTCCTCCAGGTTCCTTGTTTGCACCAGTAGATGGCGCTGTTTCATTTCTGCCTCTATGCAGATTGGAAGACCCCTGTAAGATGTACCTGAGTGCAATAAAGTACATTTTTAATATTTAGAAATACAGTTTCCTTATTTCTGTAAGTTATTCATCAGGTATTAACTTATTTCGATTATTCTTCATCTATTTTCTTCTATGTCTGTTTTCTACAGATTACCTATTTTTTTAAAGCTTGGGATCAGGGTTAGGGTCTGGTATAGTGTTAAGTGCAGGTTTGAAGATGGGAAATTGATGAGTGTTAGAAAATTACAGCAGAACAATTGTCGCCGGAGCATGTGTCTTACAATACCTCTTCCCTTTCACACCTAGGCGCTGGCAAGGACGTCTTCAGATCCGACAGGGCGGTGGGAGAGCCGGAAGATGCCCACCTCTCCAACTTCCTCCATCCGGTCATCTACCACTACAAGACCATCCCGACCCTGGAAGAGATGAACGGCAGGTCAAAACACGAGACCATCCCCAAGCCGGATTCCATCCATCATTTCGTTGAGGACTTCCTGACCGACTGGACGGCACCTACAAGGTAAATGGGATGACCAGCTTGACCCATTGGTCCCTGTATCAAGCCTATTGGAAAGTAAGAGGTCTGGGGGGGGGGCGTTTTACGAAACTGAAATCCTTGCTGCTGATTGGTTATCAGTCACTGATTTTTGTCATTTGTCATTGAAAAAAGTCTTTGTGAAACAGGTCCCAGAAGTGAATGGATTTAAGGTTCAAACTAGGTCGGTTGTTCCTCGCAACTCAAGGGTGCAAGGTTTATCTGCTATGATATACTGACCCATTTGCACACATATACATCTTGCATTAATTACTCCAGGGAGATGAGGGGGGGGGGGGTGGGGGAGCCAAGAACATATCTGTCCTAGAATTTTCAAATCTGTTGCTATCAAATTTGACATATACACTAGATAGAATTTTATTAGAGCATATTTATTACATAGCTAGGAATCCCAAAGATAAGTAAACTCCTTAAAATGAGAAACAAGATTTTACTAAAGTCATAAGTGGCAAATTACCAAGGAAATTTTATATTCTTCCCAATAAATTTTACGTACATGATGTCATCTGTATTTGATAGAAACTAAACATTCCACATTCTTTACTTATGTGTGCAAAAATATACTGAAATCAATAATTTATATACAGTCTTTATATACAGTCAAACCTGCTTTAGTAAAGGAACCTCTACAAAGAGACCACCTGTCTATAAAGACCACTTTTCTTGTCTCCCTTGGGTGGTCTTTATAGACAGGTTTCACTGTTTATATACTGTAGAACTATTATCCTCTGATGCATTTCAAATTCGTTTCGCTCCATATTTCAGCCACATCCTGGTATTCCGTCGTTTCCTGGAGAGCGTGATGGGGACGGACATGCGCTACTTCTTTGACCAGCAGTGTTTCCAGCTGGCCCTCACCCATACCGAGCTTCCCCTGTCCTGCCAGCACTACTGGGAGAACGGTCAAGGGCTGCCCGCTACTCAGACCATGCTGGACAGCACGGCTCACATGACCTGGTTCTGAGTGGACACACAGACCTGGGCCCCGTTTCACAAAACTTGTCATCAGTGACAGACGACAGTCTTTATTATTAACTACTGAAATCCTTGCTTCTGATTGGTTATCAGCAAATTTGTCACTGATTTTTTTTTTTTGTCATTTGTCATTGAAAAAGGCTTTGTGAAACAACCCCCTGTTCTTTTATTACAGAGATCCAGGGTGAAGGCAATGGGATGGGACAGATCCTTTTTCTTGTCTTGTAAATTTTTGCTCTATTTTTGGTGATATTAAAGCAAACTCGCTCACAAATATTTTTGAAAAATCAACTCAAGGGCTCTTTCGATACCATTTTGTATGCCCCATAGAAATCATGTGACTTTATGTACCAGTACTTTTTGCCATATTCTAGGGCTTGATGTCCTTTTGCAGCTTTGTGTTTTGCAGATGATTTATTCCATGATATAAATATCTTGCAAAGAATGTTTTGATTAAATACAGCTCTTATTTTCGGAAGGTCTTTGAATTAAAATACCATGGCAATGCTTATCCACTTGATAAATTGGATTATTATTTTCTAGAGGTTGAACTCTTCATCTGATTACATTCCTATTTTGTTTACATGAAAGAAATTTCATATGTTTTCTTGAATTAAAAATATTTTTTTGTGTTAGTCAGGATCATGGATTTGTAAATTTCACTTTAATGCATTACTTTCATCACAACTTTTGTTTAGCTCTAAAGTAATATAATGAACAGTGTTCATAATAGGTCGCACTTGTAATGTTTGTAGCAGGCAGGGCTTGCTTCATGGGGGAATTAGGGGAAAGATAAGTGCTTTTTCTTGTCTTGCCTTTTTGAGAGTCTTGTCACCGTTATTGTTCCACTGGAACCAAGAAAAATCATGTGTCAATTCGTAGAAAGTTTGTATAAAGATGTAATATATCAAATCTATATTTTGTGGTCAAATTCTCTTGAAATCAGTGAATCTTTTCACTTTCCATCATTCCAGATCCTTGTGCCAACTATTTCATCTTTTTTTAAGGAGCGGTGTGGACTAATTCGCTGGAAAATGGTGATTTTTTTCTTCTTTTTTTTTCAACACAGTTATAATGCAAAATGATTCATTTTTTTCTCTCTACAGAATCATCTTCTGAGAAAAATTATTTCTTGGTTGTGTTTGGCAATTTTCTTCTTTTATAAATTGTCAAAATATTAAGCCAAAAGCTCTCTTTCTCATCATGCGATAAGTATGTGTTGGCTTTTAAAGAATTTTGTTTTACCAAAAGATTTTTGTAAAGCGTTTTGCAGGGTCATTATGAGGTTGTATGTTTTGATAGTTTTTGGACAGTGGAGATGATTTGAATTTTGTTTAAAATGTTTGTGTCGTAGGCTTTGCTGGCAATGTTGAAGGTTAAGAATAGATATTAGTACTGTATTTTTTTGTCCTTGTTTACGTGTTATAAAACATAGTTTATAGTGTTGCAGAGATTCGCTCCGAAAGAGGTCTCTCGTTTATTTTAAATTGGTGAATTTGATTGCTAGCTGATTGCGAATAATTGCTGATTTTTTTTTTTCCTGGTCATATTGATATTGAACTTTTCATTTAGATGATCTTACTTTCAAGAATGTTCATCTTTAACTTGTCCTCTTCTGAATTGAATTAGAAATGAATGCACAATGAAATTGTGCCATTAATACGATAACTACTTAATTACCTGTGGTAACTACACTTATTATACATAAAACCATGCTTACTGTCTTTATCAATAATGAAAGTTCATGTAAGCAAGGTTTTTAGGGGAAAATAGAATGTTTTTGTAGACAGATCTTAATCTTAAATTTAATTATTACATTGTTTACGTACCTGAATGTAAATGATTTAATTTGTATTGTTTATTTTGTGCACCATGTATAGTAAAGTACAGATTTCCTCATTCTTTATGTCCCCCCCCCCCCCATTCTATCTCTCTTTCTCTTTCTTTTTGTATCTCTCTTTCTCTTTCTTTTTGTATCTCTCTTCTCTTTCTTTTTGTGTCTCTCTTCTCTTTCTTTCCCTATATCCCCTCTCTCCAACTCCCTCTTTCTCTCCTCTGTACCATACTCTCTACCTCACTCTCTTTCATGTGCCCCTCTCCCTCTCTCTCTCTCTCTCTCTCTCTCTCTTCTCTCTCTTTCTCTCTCTCTCTCTCTCTCTCTCTCTCTCTCTCTCTCTCTTTCTCTCTCTATAACATTATTACCTTGATACTTCATCACCTGTACTTCTTTCTCACTAGCTCTCTCTCTTTATCTTCCTCCCCTTCAGTATTTAGTATGTTATGATGTGTAATCTTATCTTGATATTTCATCACTCATATTTCTTTCTCACTCGCTCTCTCTCTCTCTCTCTTTCTCTCTCTCTTTATCTTGCTCTCCTTCTGTGTAATCTAATCTCGTAATACATAGTTGTTGCTTTTAAAGTTGTCATGATTATTTCCCAATTTGGTTAATTGGGTCAATATTTAGAGTACTATTCACATGTATATGTTATATCTTCTTTTTACAAGTTTTGACTTATTCGTTTCTATGTATTTGTTTATTTGTCTTTATGTTTTATAATTTTAGTTATTATTATTATTATCATTATCATTATGTTTTGATGAGGAGATTTTTTCTATTTTGAGAAATGTTGAATAGATCGATTCCTTTGAAGACAGAAATGACAGAATTGCATTATTGCAACAACAAAAATGGTTTCTTGAATGAATTGCAGAATTAAAATGGTTGGGAATTAAGGTCTTTGTCACAGCTTAATATGTTTTACCACCAAGACTTTAAAAGATTTTACCTTGATGATAGGAATGTGACATTTCCATTATTTGGTTTTAGTTGTTGTTTGTATTTGTTCCATTATGTTCTGTTTTGTTCTGAGATTGCTTAGGTCATCATTTAGATTACTGTATCAGTTATGTTAATTGCTTGAGTCTGTCACTTTAGTAACCGTTCATTATGCACTGGTAATAACTATGAGAGCTTTACCACTGGCAAGCATTTTGGTTTTTAATTTCTATTATTTGATAAACAAAAGGTAAGAAGTGTTATCATGGAATTTAGATTTGCCATGATAATGAAATGACAATGGAATAAATCGTTCCCTGTGTGGTTGGCAAACATTACACTAATGTCAAGTTCCTGAGTACTGCTCAGAATTTGATTTTCGAAAATGCCAAAACAACCAGAAACAAAACCAAACAAACATGGGGAAAATAGAAGCAAGTGCTTGTTTACAATTTTGACTTTCTCGTAATTGTTGAGGCCACAATTTAACTTTCGCTTATAAACTTGATTTGTGAATTCACTGTTTATTGTATAATTTTTTCTCATGAACTGATTTTCATAGGCTTATGTTTGAAAAAGATATATCATATCCAGGGAATTAATCTTTATAATTGTCTGTTTTTTCATATATTATTAAAGAGATTTACTAGATTTTATGTTATATATTTGTATATATATATACACATATATATATATATATATATATATATACAATTACATGAATCAATTTTATCACAGTCATATTAAGCAGTACTATGGTATAACTAAGAAGATGAAGAAAGTTGTCTTATTGAATATTCTTGAGGATAATATCTTTTGTTTATTTTATTATTTCTGAATTAGGAGATGAAATCATAGATCTAACGTTCAACTTTGCAGATATAAAGCAAGTGATAGAATACAATTCAAATGATGTTTCTAAAGCCTACTTTAAGTAAGTTATAGCTAAAAGCCATTCATGAATGGATAATTTGTTCATAAATTCCAAAAATCATGCACCAGAGCACAAGAAGCACGTTCATAGATACAATTTGTGTTTAAGCAAATAGAGATCATTTTGTACCAAATTGTGAAGCCAGTAGGTCATTTTCCTAATGTAATCCAATAGACCATTTCGCAATGTAATCAAATTTAATGCTTATTACATCTTTGTTAATAAGTGCCTTGTTACGCATACTTCATTCACCTGTTACAGATAATTGTATTTCAGTAGTCAGAATGTGAATTGTATGCATTATGTGTTGTTAGGCAGGGCAAGCCATATTGTTTGTCCTACCTAGCAACAACAAATATATGCAATATGCATTTTGACTATGGAGATACAAAAGTATATAAGAGATGAATGTAATAGCTCGTCGGTAGGTAAACGTGTATGAATTTGAATACATTTCGCAAAGGGTCTAATGACATACTGGCTATGTTCTCTTCAAAATTATGTTGTAATTATTCATGTTATGCACCAAAATGAATTCAATGATACACAGGAAGAAGTATTCTTTTCCAAAAGGTAAACATAGCTCTTCACGAAGCAAAGTATACCTCCATTACCCTGAGAGTAGTAATTATGAAAAACGCACGAAGTGCAGTGGTACCTCTTCTTCTTTTTCTTTTTTGATTATGTATCTGTGAATATTTAAACTGATCGATTGTTATTAAGTTATTTATGGTTTTGTTCTGGTGAGTAAGTATTGAGGGGAGAACCAATGACTACATTTTGTATGCAGTTCACGGCGTTACTTCGAGGTATTTACATGTGTATTTTTGATGTTTCGTTTTTTTTCTTCAAACCTTTTGTAATATTAAATACCAGGAGGGTATGTCCATCGGTATTATACAGAATTGCTTTATTGTTTGTACATAGTATGGATCACATTTATCTTATGTAGTTTTTTTTCTCCATTATATTACGACTCAACTTATATTTCATTTTGATGTTAACGTCAAACACCTGTAGGTCTTTGACTTTGGTTTAATCGAAATCTTATGAAAATGATTACGTGATATAGAGAGAAAAAAAGGCTAGATGCCTGATCTTGTCTCATGTCTTAATGTTGCGCATTTGCCGACAATCATTGTGTAAAGGAATGGCTACTTCGACAGTATTTTTTCCAGCCTTTGTGTAAAGGCGGTTTAGTACATGATCATGTATTAAAGGTTAATTCTCAATCCGTGCATCTTAAGAGAGGCGACATATTTGTGATTGCTATTGTGACAATCAGTCGTTGTGATTCGATTCGTTTCACACAGCGGATAATGAAAGATAATAAAAGAAAGGAGTGTTTCTTTCTATCACAAAATAGGACAGTTATTTCCGACGACATACGATTGAAAATGTAATAAATTATAGTACGAATTATGAATACTCCTTTACTAGGTGAGATGTATATTAGTTAAATGCTTAGGAGCTAGCTTTCTTTGTTGCATATTTCAACAAACTATTTCGTTTAGTATTTACTAGAGATCATATTTTTCATTGTTGTGATAGTTATTCTCATTATGCACATTCCACACGTTCCACATCAGTACTATATATACAACGATCTGGTCAATTTAGACAATCAAAATTAAACGAAACGTTGATCAAATGAAAACAAAGCATTGATCGGAAATTGTAACATTATATTCTTTGAAGAAGAAAAAAGGTTCAATATGCAACGATGCAATTCGTCACCGATTCTAGACAATGAATGTATCTTTTATCGTTCACCTTGTTTTCAGAATTGTTTTGTATTTTTCTTTATTTATTTCTTTGTCATACTCCTAGATTATACTTTAGATAGGAAAGACCTACCAATATAAAAACGATCATTATAAAAAAATTCAAATGGTACGAGAGTATTTTTTACAATGAAGGAGATAAATATACCCGTATAATTTTGAAAGCAAATTTATTCGTCGTTTTAAAGCCTGCTTGCGCTGCGAGTCTGCTCTTTAAACGAATGTACACGTTTTCCAGTTATAAAAAAAGGACATTGAAATTCATGTCTTGTGTATTTTGTAGAGAAGCACAAACGAATTTTTGGAAAATAAATGATAATTGCTTTGGTAATGACGCAGTTTATGTTTACACCTTTTATTTACGTTACTGGTTCGTTTATAATATCTTAATATTTTCTTTTTTGTCCCTTAGGACATAAGTCATATCTACGCAATTAGAATTAGCTCTTTACGGTAATTTTTATAATTTGATTTTTGTGACCCATTATTTGTTATTCGAAGTAAATTATTTTGTGATGCGAAGATTAAGTTGGAAATTAAATGGTATCACTTCTGATAAGAATTAT